CTTTAACTAACCTCAGGCTGTCCCGAACTCCCATTCCCCAACCCAAGCCATCTGTGTTAACAGGCTCATGGAAGCCATTTCAGATTTCATTACTGGGGAGTTATATGAGTAAAGCGCCACTTATAACATCACCAGCATCCCATAGCAGAACACGGGTGTCTTCTTATCCAGCTGTTCTTCTTATCCAGCTCCATGCTAATGCACCTGACGATGGCCCAATGGCTTGTTCCCTTGCCTCCCGACATGGGAGGCCTGGTTGGAGTTCCAGGCTCCTAACTTCAGCTTCGTCCAGTGCCTGCTGTTGCAGCCACTTGGGGAGCGAACCATCAGGTGAAGAATCTCTTCTCTTTTTCACTCTACTTTTCAAGTAAATTAAACAAAAAATAATAAGATTTCACTGTTTGTCAGCAACTACTTCCTTTGTCATGTCTGAAACACCATGCAGTTTCTCCTGGGTGGTTATTTAAGGAGCCCATGGAGCAGAAGAGTGGTCTTTGGGAGCGTGGCCACCACCATGGTCAACACAGAGCTCAAGTTCTCGGAAGTGGGGGAAGTCCTCCCAGCATGTCCTGACACGCTGCCTGCTAGTCTTGCTCGGTGACTGAAAAGCAGAATATGGATCCAAACAAGCAGTGTTCCCAAGCCGAGCTGGAAGGATATCCTGCCTTGGGCCTGGAGCGCCATGCATGCAAAGTCGCTGTGTTGTAAAACCCACTTTCCCCTTTCGTGGGATCTCATGACCACAGCGATGTCAAGGGCAGCCTGTCCTCCCTTCGTTCCTTTCTTGGGGTGCCCCTCCATGAGAATCCCACCATCTACAGCCTCTGGATCCCCCTCTGCTGTCCCAGCATCCCTTTATTTCTCCATTGGAGGGGGATGGCTCCCTTACTCAGCAGCCCCCCTCTGGGAGGCTGGGTGGAGTGGAATGCCAGTCACAATAGAGCAATAAATCATGGTCTAAGTAGAAAAAGTCTCTTTGTCTCCCAAGAAAAGCACAAGGCCTATGCGGCGGGAGGCAGTTCAGAGTCAGGAAATGCAGACTGGATGTGGACTGTCAAAGGAACTACATTGTATGGGATAACATACATTTTCTGTGTGTGTGTGTATACTGAATGGGTTACAATTACTAAGTGGGACTTTAAAAAAACGTATCCTTTACCAATCATCCAACCTCATAACATCAAGACACCAGTATTTACTACTTTCATATGTTGAAAAGGCACACACATGGCCTTTTACCTTTACATTTTTAAAAATACGAGGAAGGGGCTGCCATTGTGGCTTGGCGGGTAAAGCAATCAGCTGCAGTGCCAACATCCCATATGGGTGCAGGTTTGTGTCCTGATTGTTCCAATAATGATCCAGCTTCCTGCTGGACACCTGGGAAAAGCAAACAAGGATGGCCCAAGTGCTTGGCCCCTGTTCCCACATGACTGACTTTTAAAAAATCAATCAGTAAAACCTTTTTAAAAAGTAAAAATATGAAAGGCTGGATATACATGATTAACATGGAAACAGAGCTTGAGGTGGAATTGCTGAGACAAATCAGAAGGGAGTTTGCATGTTTCTTTCCATCTCCCATTTGGCTCACACAGCAACTTTTTTTTTTTTTTTTTTAAGATTTACTTATTTTTATTGGAAAAGCAGAGTTACAGAAAGAAAAATCTCCCATCTGCTGGTTCATCCAAGTGGCCACAACAGGCAGAACTAAGCCAAACAGAAGCCAGGAGCTTCTTCAGGTCTCCCACGTGGGTGCAGGGACCCTCCACTGCTTTCCCAGGCCACAAGCAAGAAGCTGAATGGGAAGTGGAGCAGCCAGGACTTGAACTGGTGTCCATATGGGATCCTAGCACATGCAAGGAGAGGATTAGCCACTGAGCCGGGCCCCAGGTAGCTTCTCTCTGTCTCTTCATTAAGTTTTATAGATATTTTATATGTGCTTGTTTATCATTTTGATTTCTTTGCAAGGTTTATTTACTTAGGTAAGGCAGAATCATCAGTTTGACTAGAGGCTCCCCGAGTCGGATGCCTGTAGCTTCTTCTAAGGGAATGTCTTTGTGTCTGTTTTACACAGGGTGGAGAGGCCAGGCCTCTCACTGGGTGCAGAAGATGAGCTGACAGGATTAGGAAGCAGGTGCAGAGATAAGAGCTCTTGAAAGTAGAAAATGTTCAGGAAGCTTTTCCTGTATCGACTAAAAAACAAAAAGATTTAGTTCTTTATTTGAAAGGCAGAGGGAGTGAGGAAAAGAGCCAGGCACAGGAGAGAGAAAGAGAGTGATAGAGTGTGTGTGTGTGTGTGTGTGTGTGTGTGTGTGTGTGTGTGTGTGTGTGTGTGTGTTTCCATCCACTGGTTCACTCCCCAGATGGTCACAAGGGCTGGGATTGGGCTGGGCTGAAGCCAGTAGCCTGGAACTCCATCCAGGTCTCCCACATGGCTGGCAGGGTCCGCAGCCCTTCGGCTGCCTTGCGCTGCTTTCCCAGGCACATCAGCAGGGAGTCTGGAAGCAGAGCAGGCGGGACTCAAACCAGTGTCCATATGGGCAGCTTAACCTACTGAAATCTGAAGCAAGTTACTCTGATGTCAGGAGTGAGTGTCTTAGAGTAGTTCTGTTTGCTTATGTATTTATTTTTATCTTTTCCCTTCTAGTGCCTCCAAAGGACTAGAGAGTTGTATCTTTTTTTTTTTTCCCTCAGTTTTGGTGTTTTCTTGGTGTTACCTGGGCTTCCCCATCCCCCAGGTGGGGGACTATGTCACTGGACTGTGGGGGTGAGAGGGCGGTGGGCGGGTTCTGAGGAGGGCCTGCAGACCAGATAATAATCTCCAGAATGTATCTTCCCTGGAGGTCTGAACCACACGTCCAGGATGTCCTGTTGTGTCCGTCACATTTTCACCAAGGTATGGGTCTCTCCTGGCCATGCTGGCACACATGTCTCCCTACACTGAGAGAGCCAGGGCTGTACCAGGAGTAATAACAGAGCCGGGCAGGTCTGGGTGGGAGCTGGGGTGTTTCCTGCCCGAGCCACACCTCTCTAACCAGTCACCATCAACATCCTTATTTGTGAAGTAGAGGCTGAGCAGCACCTCCCCTGAGCTACAAGCAAGACAGACTGATCTGTTCACCCACAGGCTTTGCTGGAGTGTCATGGGGGGCATGGGGGGGAGGAACTGATGACCTACCCAAGTGATTGTGGGAGGCTGGCAGGACTTGGCTTTGAAAACCCACAAAGGAGGAATTGGGGGTTGTTGCAGCCCACCAGGTTGAGCCATTCCTCCCAGTGCTGGCATCCCAAGCCTGAGGGCCTGTTGCATTCCCAGCTACTCCACTTGCAATTCAGCACACTATTGATATAGCCTGGGAAGGCATGGATGATGGCCCAGGTGCTCTGGCCCCTGGCTGCAGCTCAGCACGGCCAGCCATTGTGACTATTTAGAGAGTGAACCATGGATGGAAGATTTCTCTGTCTTCATTATTCCCTCTTTCTCTGACAGTCCGCCTTTCAAATAAATAAATCTTCTTTTTTAAAAAAAAAATCCCAAATGTATTAATTCACTTGCTCTAACAACCCACTAGGCAACAAAGTGTATAAAAATCACCAAGAAAATTTTTTGTAAGAACCAAAATATGGAACTTGTCCTGTAAGATCTTAAACTTATTTAAGGGCAATGATAATTATAATAGTATGGGTTAGGAGTTGGAATAGGCAGGTTAGGCTAATTAATGAGATATATTAGGTTAACTAATGTTGGGACGGACAGGTTAGATTAGAATAATATAGGGATTAGCCCTTAGATAAGAGAAGAAAGAATCTGGAAAAAATGACATTTCAAACTAGTAGGAAAATAACAGAAAGTGGTGTTGGGACAATGGACTGTGTGCACACTTGGAGGATACAAATTCCAGATGGGTGAAGAACAAATCTAATATTAAAAACATGTTTGTAACTTGGATTCTGTAAAGCCAGCTTCAGGAACTCTTGCTTAGCAAAAACGGTCTGACCCTGAACATGTTGTTTAGCTTTTGACTGTCTTTTTTTGTTGTTGTTTTTATCAATAACAAAAACCAATAGAGATAACCATACGATAGAATGCAGCTGAGAGCAGTGTTTGAAATGTACTTATCTGGTCAAGCATCCATCTCTCTGGTTACATGGAACTTTGTGTTTTGGTGATGATATCCAATTCTGTATACTCCAACCCCTAGCAGGACAGAAATTTTACTTCTTGCTTCTGTGGCAACATATTTGAGTCCAGCAGGCAGAAATCTATCGCTTGCTAAGTCCTTTACCTCCACACCACCAGAAGTGATGAAGAAAACGTTCTCCATTGACACGTTAGACAAGTTCTTAACCACGGTTGTAATTGTGAATCTGCGATTATTTGCACCTGTACCTAAATGGCAAAAGATGGGTGAATTCCAGATGTGCTCTGATTCTTCTTCTTTCAGTTCCGTTTCCCATAGGAAGAAAATGATCCATTGTATCCTATGCAGTGGGACTTTTCCCACTCTTTTTTTTTTTTTTTTTTTTGCTTATTTGTTTGGTTAGGAAAGGGTAAGGTGCCATATGTAGATGCTGAGAAAGTGAAAGTAAGCGACCCTAAACAACAATGGGATAACGGGATTTTAGTAGTCTTCTAGGGGCTGGTACTGTGCCACAGCAGATCTGATCTGCATGTCTCCTAGGGCCCTCACAGTGTCCCCAGGCTAGCCGTGATTGTCTGTCTCTCCATCCTGTGTACCCAGGGACAGTCCACAATGTTTTGCTTCCAAATTAAATTCATTTATCCTCTGTCTGTCATTCCTTTCCTACCCTGCTCAGCCCCTCCCACCAGCAGGTGCAGTAAAGAGACTCTTGGTTAACTATAGGCAACCGTGTATGCTGCTCCTATCTGTGAGGCGTGATCAGACCACTCAGGCAGAGGGAAAACGTGCTGGTGCTGCAAAGAAACGTCTTCTTGGGCAATAACATGCCATCTTTCTTTCCTTGCCCTTTCTCTGCAGAACGATCAATGCATGGAAGAGATGCAGATCATTGGAGGAGAGGACCTTTCAACCCTGGCTGGAAAGGTTTGTTTCTGGAGATACGGGTGACCTTCGTCTTGGGCCAACGCTTAGGGACGCATCTCAGACGTCCTCCCGGGCTAACTAATTGGTGCAAATGGATATGCCAGTCCTTGTAATGACTGCTCCTTTTTTGTTATTATTTAAATTTTTTTTTGCTAGGTAGAGTTACATAGACAGAGATCTTCTGTCACTGATTCAGTCCCCAAATGGCCTGAGCAGCTGGGCCAGGCTGAAACCAGGAGCCAAGAGCTTGGTTTGAGTCTCCCATGTAAGCTCAGGGTTCCAAGGATTTAGGTCATCCTTTGCTGCTTTCCCAGGCACATTAGCAGGAAACTGAGTGGGAAGTGGGGCAGCTCACTTTCCCTGGCACCTGAAGAAAAGGAGGCTGGTGCTGTGGCATAGCAAGTAAAGCCACCACCTTCAGTGCTGGTGTCCCACATGGGTACTGGTTCAACTCCCAGCTGCTCCATTTCCAATCCAGCTCCCTACTAATGTGATTTGGAAAGCAACAGAGAATGACCCAAGTCCTTGGGCCCCTGAACTCATGTGGAAGACCCAGAAGAAACTTCTGGCTCCTGACTGGATTGGTCCAGCACCGGTTGTTGCAACCATTTGGGAAGTGAAACAACAGACAAAACATCTCTTAGTCACTCTCACCGTAATTCTGTCTTTCAAATAAATAAAATAAATCCCTAAAAAGGAGAGAGAAGGAAGCCTCCTTGCACTTAAGAAAGCCATTGGACAAGTCTGTTGACATGTGCAACATTTATCAAACGAAGGACACAGAACTTCCTAAGAAGATACTCTCAGACCTTGGCCTGTTTCCTCTTTCCTGTTGAAAAAGAACGCACCCTAAATGGTGATAGGAAGATACTTCTAGTCTTAACTGGGAGTTGCAGCCTTGCTGGCACCCTCGTGATTCAGTTCAGAGTCATCTTGGAAAGAGCCCCTGGGTCTTGGGAAAGCAGAGCGTCTCCGCAGGAGGCGATTCGAAATGTGAGTTTTGCTTTCAGTAACAGAGAAGCAGGCTGTGTCTGTGTGCACCTGTGCTGGCCTATTATGCATTCAAGAGCTGTTTCCATCTTCTGCTTTCTAAGAACAAAGGATCCCTCCATTCCGCAAGCTTAATCCCTCCGGCTCGCACAGTTCCCCAGATGGGGCAAAAGGGACAACAGCCGCGTTTAATCAAAACACTGCTAATAACATCATGAGGCGTGGGCACTGTGAGTACAGAACAGCCGTCATGCCCACATGTTTGAAGACAACACTGCTCAGGCATTGTTCAGTGGTCGTCAGTGGGTTTCCTAGAAATTGGAATGACCATGTTGATACTGAGGCATTGTGAGGCCACCGTTTGTGCAGAAAGTCCCTAAAATATCAGAAACGGCTTTAAAATGTATAACTTTTAACAGTGTTTGACCAAGCAGTCCTTAAGCGATGTCACTTTAGTACTGTTCCCTTACAGCTTGGTAAGGGCTGAGCCAGGAGGACTGGAAGAAAATGTCATGCAACCCCTGAAAATTCCTTTCTAATCCTGAAACAGCCCAGGGCATGTGTGTGGCCTGTCTGTGCACCACCTCTCCCAGGCAGGCTCTCCGCCCAGGGTCGGAGGGATCTTGAAAAACAATGGAAATCATGAGAGGCCGGGCTCTCTGCATTGTTTAGAATTCACATTCAGAATTTTGCCATCACGCCAAATTCATTTCTGCTGGAAACAACAACAAATGAATGGGAAAGGCACTCATTCACTGGTGGGCTCTTGGTCTGAACCATGGTGGACGATGCTCTGAAACTTGCTTGTGCACTGTCTGCTCCTCTGTAGTTCGTGTCTGCTTTTGCAATGGCTCCACAAACCGCACTTTCAGTTACATTCTGGCTGTGTGACTGCCTTCTCTGGCTCGTGCTCAGCACCCAGACAAGAGCCCCACTTCCTGTGGGCTTTCCAAAAAAAAAAAAAAGAAAAAAAATCCAAAAAAACCCTGCTGGAGAGGATTGGGATGGTCCTAATCAGGTAGGGGAGGTTTACTGGGGACCAGAAGATGCAGAGAACACAGAAGCAGGATGGGTTAAACGCAGGAGGGAGGAGGATAGGTGGTCCAGGGAAAGGTTAACAACCTGAGCAGGTGCAGCAGATTTGGTTTGTAGAAAACTTGGAGTATCTTTACCACATATTCACTGACTCAAAAGAGTTGTACTCAAGGCTAGCGCACCTCATGGGGGAGTGGGATTCCTGGAAGGAGGGAGCGAGATGGCACAGGTAGAGCCCATGGGAGCCCTTTAACTACCAAGAAGGAGTGAGAAAAAAAGGAGCAGCTGTGTAGTTGAAAGGAGGGCGGTGGGGTCCACGGCTAAAGTCCTCACCTTGTATGTGCCGGATGGGATCTCATATGGGCACCGGTTCTAATCTCGGTGGCTCCACTTCCCATCTAGCTCTGTGCTTGTGACCTAGGAGGGCAGTCGAAGACGGCCCAAAGCCTTGGGACCCTGCACCCATGTGGGAGACCCGGAAGAGGCTCTAGGCTCCTGGCTTCGGATTGGCTCAGCTCCAGCCATTGCTGCCACTTAGGGAATGAATCATTGGACAGAAGATCTTCCTGTCTGTCTCTCCTCTCTGTGTATCTGACTTTCCAATTAAAAAAAAAAAATCTTTTTTTTTTTTTTTAAAAAAGAGGGTGGGCAAGAAGAATTTTGTTTTTTTCCAATCAATATTTATTTATGAAAGCACTTTCTACCTGGGAAAGTGACCCACCTGCTTGGTTTTTGTCATGCTCTAAATTAGAGACAGGACCAGCCCCTGGAACTGGGTAACTTCTGGAACCCTTGCAGGCATGGGAGGTAAAATAGAGAGAGAAGACCAGACTGGATTTCTTTCTCGCTCTCCTTACTTTGCTTCCTTCCTTCCTGTAAGAAAGGGGAAAGCACTACCGAGCCAGCCAGCCAGCTGTGTCACAGCTCTAACTAGGTCACTGCTGTTAAACGAAAAGAGCCCTCAGTAGGTTGCCCCTCTCGGCCTGATGGTTTCTCAAAGTCGGCTGAATCCTTGGCATTTCAGAACGCATGAACATGACATTCATGTTCAAGAGGACTCTCAGAAGAGGAGGAAAGAACAGAACTAAGCACAGGGACATGAGCCCCTGGCTAGCATGCCCCTGCCCACACCCTCCCTGTCCCTCCCAAGCCCAGCGGTCCCCAAACACCAGATTCAGGCACCATCAGAAGCTGTCCAAAGCGCACTTGCTCCCTCCTCCTGCCTCCACTGGCTGCCCCAGTTCTTTAAATTATTCCTCTTCATTGCATCTAACCAGGCTGTGAACATTCGTGGAAATGCCCCCTAATGGGAGGTTCTGGCAGTTTGGAGAAAGAAGCACTGGAAGCAAAACGCTGAGCTTCAGCTTTCTGGGGCGGGCATTGGAAGAGAGGGGCAGTCTTGCGTTGACTCAACGCCCACTCAATACTTGGCACATAGCACACAGCTGGCTCAGCCTCCACTCTCCGTCCCTCTGACCACCGGGGCTTGGCCGATGCCATACCGTACCAACTCCTTGGCAGTTTGAGAGACTAAAAGTAGGGCTTGCTTCTTGAAAAAAATCATTGAGAGTTGCCTTATCCTTTCCTTCTGTCTTGGGTTCCAATTTTCTTTGCTTCCCAGGCCTGTTTGGAACTCCAAGGTGGTGAGCCAAGAAAAGAACCATGCAAGAGTAAGGAAAGAAATGGAGATTCCACCCCCACGCATGCATCCCCCACACCTCCCTAGAATGTCCACCGGCAGATTTTGCTGACTTTCTGGGAGGAAATGAGCTAGGCGTGAGGGGATGACTAAGACAGGAGCTGGCAAGCATCATGGATTCGGTGAGGAGTTATTATCAGATTGGAAGTGTTTGGGAGGCACGGCATGTTCTGGAGTCTGTTTTCCAAGGCTGCCCGCTCAAAAAAAGATGGGAATTTTTAGCAGACGGTCTTGTGCAGAATTGAAAGCATTAGACAATAAGTCTGGTTAAAGTAGTAGGATGCAAGAGAGGGGGTTGCCGGATCACAAGGATAATGAGCAAGAGGAAGTGGGAGAAACAAGGTCACAATTGCTGATTGGTTCCTAGGTGTTTCTTGAATGCCTACTGCCTGCCATTCCCTGCCTTAAATGCTGATCCTACAAGAAGGGGGAGTCTTGGGCCTTTAGCTCTGGGATGGCAACTTGGACTATGAAACCAGAAAGAGACCTGTTGCTGTAGACAGCAGCGACAATGCCTCCAGTTACTTCCTGTCTCCTCCTGGGCTATCCTCTTGCTTCACATGGCAGAGGGCCTCCTGGTACCCCAGTCCCATCACAGAGGCCCTGGGACATGACTCTTGCTGAAGGTGAGCTAGCATTGTTAAGACACTCTAGGCAGCTCACTGGTTACCTGCAGGGCGTGCTGTTCCCTAGCAGACAGTGTGCTCTGTGGCCAGATTTCTGAATCCACTAATTTTGTGCTTTTAAAATCTTTTTACATAGCTCAGAAAGTACTTTATGTTGCTACAGATATGATCAACAAAGATTTAGTTATTAATATTTGTAAGACAGGCTTAGAGGAGAGAAACAAAGAGAGATGCTCTCCACTGGTTCACTTCCCAAATAGCCACAGTGGCTGGAGCTGAGCCAGCCTGAAGCTGGAAGCCAGGAGCTTCTTCCGGGTCTCCCAGATAGTTATTAAGGCCCAAGCATTTGAGCCATCCTCTGTTGCTTTCCTAGGAACATTGATAGGGAGCTGAATCAGAAATGGAGTAACTGGGACTTGAACTGGCACCCATGTGGTATGCTAGCCTCACAAACAAAGGCTTAACCTACATGGCCACAATGCTGGCCCAAGCCTCCACATCCACCAATATCTGTGAAATATGGTTGAATCCTAATTAACACATATGTTCCTTAAAGTAATCCAGCAAGAGGAGGAAAGAAGGAAGGAAAGAGAAAGAAAAAGAAAGGAGGGAGGAGGAGGAGAAAGAAAGAAGATAAAAGAAAAAAGAAAAGTCAGACTCCTGGAGAAGGACAGGTATTTAGCCTAGTGGTTAAGCTGCTGTTTAAGATCCCCACGTCCCTAAAGGAGTGCCCGCCTTCAGAGACGCTGCGCACTGGAGTCTAGCCCCTGCTAATGCGCATCCTAGCAGGTGGTGGGGCCCTGCTACCCACACTGGGGGGACCTGGATGGAGTTCACAGCTCTTCGCTTGTGTCTAGCCCAGGCACGGCCCATTGTAGGCAGTTGGGGAGTGAATAAGTAACTGGGAGAGTTCGCTGTGTCCCATAAATAAGTAAAGAAATCAATACACTGTAAATACAACACTGTAAGAACAGAGTAAACACAATTTAGGAATGCCAAAAGAACAATAAACAAGCTCTGGAAGGAGAAGTAATATAGGACAGGGTTTACCTCTGCAATTGGAAAAAAAAAATATATATATATATACAGCAGCTTTACCAGCTATGCCACCACATAGCCTCTCTGCTTCTCTTTAGAAATGCAGCAGGAACACGGGGGAGTGGGGAGCAAGAAAGCTCAGAGTTCAAAGTAACTGCATGTGGGGAGAGAGGAAAGGTGAAGGCTTCTATAGAACCCACTCCCTCTGTTGAAGTTTCACTATATGTGTGTTATTGCCCTGGTCTAAAACATGATGGGGTAATCTTGATCTTGTGTCTTGGGATCAGTACACATCCAAATCCTTCTTCCCACCCACCACTGTGACAGAGTAGAAGCTGCTGATCTTTCCAATGAGAAAGGGTTTGTTGTCCAAACACCTGCACTTGTCAAACACCAGAATAGCAGATTTAACCATGTCCAGTGCACTCAATATAGTTAGGTGTGTTGCAGAGTCACTCTCTTGAAATTTCTCTTAGTCGAGACAAGGTGAAGAATCAGGAGATTCAATTACCCACCACGTGCTCTGAATGTTCTAGTTGCTGATCCTCAGACGGCAATCACACAGCTCAGCTGACATGTGTCAATTCAGTGTTAGGATCTAGGGAACTGTGTTCAGTATGGCAAACGGACTCTGCCAGCAGGACTAGCATGCCATGCCTCAACCTGCTTCACAAATGGGCACCAAAGGGCCAGCATCCCACATCACAGTGCCTGATTCCATGTCTTCTGACTGCCAGCCAGTTCACCTCGAGAGGCAGCAGGGAATGGCTGCAGTACTTGAGTCCCTGCCCTTTACATGGGTCACTCTGCTGAAGTCCCAGGCTCCTGACTTGAGCCCTAGTGATTGCAGGCACTGAACAGTCTTTGTGTTTCTATCTTTCAAATAAGATGAAAAGAAGAGCAAGTATTGTAGTACAGTGGCTTAACTTCCACCTACAATTCCTGCTCCTATATGCACATCAGTTTCAAGTCCCGGCTGTTCCACTTCTGATCTAGCTCCCTGCCAATGCTCCTGGGAAAGCAACAGAGGATGGCCCCAGTGCTTGGGCTCCTGACTCCATCTGGGAGACCCAGAAGAAGCTGCTGGCCCTGGTCCTGGCTTTTGCCTGGTCCAAACTTTGCTGTCATTTTGGGGGTGGGGTGGGGCTTGTGGGGAGTGAACCAGCCAATCAAAGATCTCTGTCACTCTACCTTTTAAGTAAATCTTTCCTAAAAATTATTTTTAAAATGAAAATGATGTTAGAAAGCACAGGGTAATTTTATATTTTAATGATGGAATGATAAATTTATAAATGGATTTAGTGACTAAAAGGACCCTACCTGAAATAAAAACATCTCCTTAAAGAGAATTTGATAAATGGTGCAAATTTCAGGGATATGGGATTCTTGGGTAGGTAGTTATTTTCATTCATCAAGTCTCTTGTGTGTCAGATAGCTAATGTGTAAGATTCGATAGTATTTGTCAAAGTGATGTAAATCCTAGGGAGAAATGAAAAGTCTCCTAAAGAAAGAAAAACTTCCTTTCCACAAAGGTGGAATTTCAGCATGTGTCTAACAGGAAGGGCGTGTGTTCATTTAGTGGGACAGCACTGACATGTTCCTGCTGGTCCACTTAATTGGCTAATTTTAGCTCATCCCTAACCTCATCCCTAACCTGCGTTGGTTATTGCCATTCCCTCATTCAACAAGCCATTCTTAAGCACCTGTATATAGGCACTGTGCTGGAGTGTAGCTGGGAGCTGGGCACCCGGGACCTCCATTAACCCCCTTATTGCGTCAAGTTTGGGGCTGCAGTGGAGGTGGAGAAAGCCAACAAGAGATCCAAGTGCAGCTTGATTGGAGTCCCCGGGGAAAAACAGAGGTCCATGGAACAAAGGGCCCGCCCACCTCAGGGGAAAATAGAAGCTGAACTCCTTATGTTTGTATTTTTTAAAGATGCTTTTTTTTTTTTTTTTAATTTAAAAAGCAGATTTTCAGAGGGGAAAGACAGCCAACATCTTCCATCTACTGATTCACTCCCCAAATGGCCACAACAGCTAGAGCTAAGCCAATCTGAAGCCAGGAACCAGGAGCTTCTTCTTCTGAGTCTGTCTTGTGGGTACTGGGGTCCAGGGACTTGGGCCACCTTCCACTGCTTTCCCAAGTCACAAGAAGGCAGCTGGATGGGAAGTAGAGCAGCTAGGATATGAACTAGCATCCATATGGGATGCTAGCATTTACAAGTGGAGGATTAGCCTATTGAGTCACTGCACTGCACCCGCCCACAACCACCACAGTTCTTGCTCTCTGTTTCCTCAGCTTAGGAAAGCCTTCCTGGGGACACAGGAGGCTGCCACAGCTCAGCATATGATCCAGCCACACAGCCTTGCCTCCGGGAGTGGCCTTTGAATGACTTGCTTTGTCTCTCAAGGGAGCACTGGGTGGGACCACTGAGCTTGGGTTGGGTAGCATGGTTAAGATGGAGCCTGGGAATGCAGCAGTAAGTGGTTCCAAAGGAACCAGGACTTGAATCTGGAGTGCCTGGGTGACCTGTGAACATGTGGATGAGACCCCCTGGGGAGGACTGGTGAGGGGCATCCTGAAGCTGCACACAAAGGGTGTGCTCGTCTTGTGACCCAGGCACATGAGATACCCTGAAACTTGCATTTTCTTTCTTTCAGAATGTCCTCATTGTTGAGGTAAGCTGGCTTTTTCCTGTCTACCCTTGGGAGTTGAGAGAGTCTCGCGGTGAGTTTGGAAACATAAGACTTATCAGCATGCTAGCCCAGGACTTCCAAGTTCCCACTCTGTACATGGCTCCAGATTTATTTATTTAGAAGACAGAGCTGCAGAGAGGATGAGAGACAGAGACCAAGCAAGATGCTCTCCAAGTAGCTAAAATGGCTAGGTCTAGGTAAGGTGGAAGCCAGATTCCAGAAGCTTCATCCAGGTCTCCCAAGTGAGTGCAGGACCCAAGTGAGTAAGCCATCTTCCACTACTTTCCCAGGCACATTAGCAGGAGGTTGGATCAGAAGTGAAATAACCAATTCTTGAGCCAGTACCAATGTGGGATGCTGGCATTACAGGTGGTAGCTTAACCCATTGCTGCACAGCACCATCCCTCACCCATATTGAATAGAGTTCCCACTGTGTATGTGGTTGCCCAGGCGTATTGAACAGGAACCAATCAGAATCACTACTTTAAAAAAAATTTTTTTTAAAGATTTCTTTATTTGAAAGAGTTACAGAGAGAGATCTTCCACCTACCAGTTCATTCCCCAAATGACTACAATGGCCACAGCTGGCCAGTCTGAAGCTAGAAGCCAGGAGTTTGTTCTGCGTCTCCCACATGGGTGCAGGGGCCCAAGGACTTGAACCATCCTCTGTTGCTTTCTGAGGCCACTGACAGGGAGCTGGATTGGAAGTGGAGGAGTCAGGACTTGAGTCAGTGATTTCATGGGATGCTGGTGCTGCAGGTGGCATGCCACATGCCACAATGCCAGCCCTAATTCCATGATCTTACTGATATCCTCCCAATGAACACAGGCTGTCCTCAGATACCTTAAGAAAGTGGAAACCTAGGGAACTTAGAGAGGAAATGTAGTTTTAATTTTTATGTTTAACAAAAAATAGAGAGGAAGGAGGGGAGGAGAAAAAGGGAAAGGGAAGGAGAGAGAGAGGAAGAAGAGAGGGAAAGATAAGAAGAAAGGAGGGAGGGAGGAAGCAGGAACCCTGTACCAGGCACAGTGATGGTCAGTGACATGGCCGCCCGCTCAGCTGGCGCTGAGTCAGCGAGCTGTTGGCCCCTTTGTCCTGTGCTGTCCATGTGCACCTTGTGTATCTGGAATTGCTCGGGCTTAATAGATCCCATCTAGTAGGCCCTCAGGCCACAGGCACAGCCCAGCCCTGGCTCCATTCAGACCTTGCCTAATCAGCTCCTGGCAGCTGACGCCCTTTAGTCCTTGGTGGAGATGGGGGGGGGGATGGGAGTTGTCCCCTGCAGCCACCACCCCCTTCAAATTCACGGGACCAGCGCCAGCTGCGGCCCAGACACAGAGAGAGTCCCCTATTGAGAGGGGCCCGCCAAGGGAGAAGGGGGAGGCGCTTATCCTTTCGATGTATTCACAAGAGTGTCCCACGGCCATGAAAATTCATGCGCCTTGTATTGTGTGGCGTAACCCCAGGGCCACATCAAGCCTCTCTATGTGTATGTCTGTGTGAGCACACGTGCAAGGCTGCAAATACACTCCACTCGAACGATGCCCGGTGGCAGCCCTGGAACACAGCTGAGGGATCCAGGGAGAAAATTACTCCCCCACCCCAAATTCACCTTCCAGAAGAAAGCACTGGTTGAAAAAATAATATGATCAGGCCGCCCTGCTGGCTGCCTGAGAGTCACACTGAAAGCATTTCAAATCAGCACGCATTCTGAATAAGGGAGAGCTTCTCCTTTCCCCCACCTCCACCGCTCCCCCCAGGGTGCACCCTTCATGTGTGAGGCCACTTTGTTCCACCTAGCTCAGTTGAATGTATCTCATGTCTGTTCTCTTTGCAAAGGACGTCGTAGGGACGGGGAGGACCATGCGGGCCCTGCTCAGCAGCATCCAGAAGTACCAGCCCACCATGATCAAGGTAGCCAGGTGAGTCACGCCTCCCAGCCCCAGTGTGGGGATCTCAGCAGGGGTGCTGGCATTGTGGTGCTCTTCCGGAAGATGGAATCTCCTCCGATGGCAGGAGGGTTTAATCACAGTCTGAGAAAGGAAGGGCAAGAGAGGAGCTGGGTTTCAGAGTCCCTGCCTCTGACTCTCCAGGAACTACCCCCAGGAACAGTCTGACCAACCCAGTGCAACTGCTCTTTCCCTCCTTGTTTAAATATACACATATACATAGGTGTATATATATATATACATATATATGTACATATATATACATATACATATATATACATATATATGTACATATATACATATATGTGTATGTGTATACTCATATATGTACATATATATACATATATATATATTAGAATATATATATATTCTAATGTGCCAGAGCCATGCCATAACATGCTAAATCTCTATGTGCAGCATGGGCATCCCCTATGGGTGCTTTTTTGAGTCCCAGCTGCTCTAATTCCAATCTAGCTCCCTGTTTATGCATCTGGGAAAGCAGCGGAAGATGGTCCAAGTCCTTGGGATCCTGTACCCACATGGGAGAAACTTCTGGCTTCAGACCCAAAGTTGTGACCATTTGGGAAGTGAACCAATAGATGCAAGAGCTGTCTGTCTCTCCTCCTCTATGTATCTATAGACACATGTATGTTTACATATACATATGTATATGTGTGTATACACACACACACACACACATATATGTAGACAGGTATCTTTGAAAGGCAAAGAGGAGAGTGCATGTGTGTTTGAGAGAAACATGCACTGGTTCACTCCTGATGCCAGAAGTCTGGAATTCCATCCAGGTCTCCCATATTTGTGCAGGGGCCCAAATACTTGGGCCGTCTTCCACTTCTTTCCCAGGCATCTCAGAGAGAAGTAGATTAGAAGTGAAACAGCCAGGACATAAAGTAGCCCCCACATGGAGCATCAACACCGCAGGCAGGCAGTGGCTTAGCCTGTTGCAGCACCACACCAGTTCAGCCCCATCTTCTTACCCAGAGCCTTCAAGGCCATCCCCCTGCTGGTAACAAAGGCAGAGGCTGAGGGTGCTGCTGCCAGACTCCAAGGTGGGAGTGGGGAGACACACCTGTATGCTGTGCAGTTCTCCCTGCAGATCCCAGAGCTCATGTTGACATCCTCCAAAGTGTGCTTGTGCTTTGTTTTGTCGGCAGCTTGTTGGTGAAGAGAACGCCCAGGAGCGACGGCTTCCGGCCCCACTGTGAGTGTGCCTGGCTTGGCACTGGTGCTGTGTTTCCTACTTAAGAATTGCTGCTTTTCTCTGTGTGTCTCTCCCCAGAAGCCAGAAGCTTCAAAATTCTCCTTTGCTGGCCTTTCTCGGGAACTCTGTGCTGTGCGTGCACTGGATGGGTTTTTCCTCTAGGATTTTATGTAGCGCCTTGTTTCAGAGCACTTAGCTGCTCCATGACAGGGGTGGCAGAAGGGTTGACCCCTAAAGGACTGACTGAGAAGGCCCTGCACCCCTGCATGGCTGCTGGTCCCACCCACCAGACTCCCAGAGGTACTGCAGGAGGTCGAAGGGACCCCTTGGGCCATCCACCTGCAGGATCTGTTGTCAGACAGTCCCTAGAAGGGGAAAGCCTGTGTGTGTGTGGTGTGTGTGTGGTGTGTGCGTGTGTGTGTGTGTGTTGCGGGGGCTGTAGAGGTGATGTGTGTGCACAAGGAGTCCTGCCTACTACCTCTGGCAGGGACAACCCGCAGGGCATCCACAGGCAGCCTGCTCAGTTACTGCCCTAACACTAGAAGTGAGTTGTGGTTTGCAGGCACAGACCGCACTTGAGTTGACCATGATTCACTCACATTGACTCTGGAGTCCCTAGCATGATTTGGCGGCAGCTCCCATCAGCCAGCTGCACAAACAATGAAATCAGAGGAGCAGGGTAGGGGGTGGGTCCCGAGCCAGTGCCTCCAAATTCTGTAAGTGGAGTTCAGTCCTGTGCTGACTGTACTGGCAGGCTCTACCACATTTGGGGAATACAACCTGGGTCTAATGAAGGCTGCTTGAGATTATGAAACAGAACTGTTATAAGGAAATAGTATCAAGTAAGAGGCATATAAATAAGAAAGCATTTGATTCAAATCTGCCTGATTCATTACTGGTTTCTTTTTTTAAGATTTATGGAGAGAGGGAAAGAGAGAGACAGAGAGAAGGAAAGATCTTCCACTTGCTGAAGGACTGAGGATAGGCCAGGCCCAAGTCTTGAACCCGGAACTCCATCCAGGTATCCCACTTGGGTGGCAGGGGCCCAAGTACTCAAGCCATCTTCCATTGGTTTTCCAGTCCTATTAGCTGGATCCGAAGTGGAGCAGCTGGGACTCAAACCAGTGCCCATATGGGAAGCATTGCTTGCAGCAGCTTGACTCAGCATACCACAATGCCAGCTCTGATGACAGATTTCTGACATTGCTTGCAGCAACATGAAGGAAATCATAGTGGCTAAGACACTCTGCTGAGGGCTGTGTGGAGGTAGGCTCCTGTCATCCTCACAGCTGCACTCTGTTAAACCCATCTTCCAGATGAGAAATAGGAAACCAGCCAACTTGCTAAGCTCATTATCAGCATTGAGCCTGGACAGTCTGGTTCATGTCATTGCTCTCTTGCCACCACTGCAAACACAGGCTTTGGAGATCTGCACGTCTGCTAGCTAGTGAGGGGTCATTCTGTATCACAGGCCTTCTCATGTTCCACAGCATCCCAGAGTTTGACCTGCTAAGCTGGCTTTGGGCTGGCATTTACCCAGTGTGAATTGCTATGCACGCCTGTTGTAGACACTGTATTACTCTTTCCAAGGTTGTTGTTGTTGTATATACCCTGCGATTTACCCATCCTTTAGCTACTTTAAAATCTGTGTGGGGGTCAGCCTTGTGGTGCAAGGAATTAAGCTACCACGTAAGGCACTGGCACCCCATATCAGCACCAGTCTGAGTCCTACCTCCTCCCATCTGCTTCCACACCTGCTGATGTGCCTGGCAAATTCAGTGGATGATGACCAAATGCTTGGGCCGCTGCCACCCATGAGGAAGACACAGATGGAGTTATAGGCTTCTTGCTTCAGCCTGGGTCAGCTCTAGCGATTGCAGCCATTTGGGAAATGAACCAGCAGATAGAAGATTCTATCTCTGACTCTCTACAATGCTGTCTTTAAAATAAGTAAAACAAATCTTTTTAAAGCCTCTTTTTGAAAGTGAGAATCGTAATCTATTCCTTAAGGATTCTCTCCAATAAATTACTCTTCCTTTCAGTACATTCTCCTTTTTCTTAACCTTGCATGGAATCTAGATCCATTTCCTCTCATTCTGCTCAAGGAAACCTTTATTCACATCCTCTGCACTGTGGTCTCAGAAGACCAACCACTAAATAATCCCGAGCATTTTTCAAAATGGACAATTCCATTTCCTTTGATGTTGATCTCATGGTTTCACTTCACGGTGCCCTTGAACCAGCCAAGGACACAGGTGCACCACTGTTTACAGGCTGCAGGACTGGGGTGCCTTCCGGCTGAACTGGCCTGTAGTGTTTTTCTGTTGCCTTTGGTGTGACGTCATTCCCTGGGTAGCAAGACTGACTCGTATGTCCCTCTTACCATCGTCCATGGGCCCGCTGAGTGTTTTCTCAGCTCTGCATGCCAGCTCAGTCTTGGTGCAGCAGACGAGTGTGTCTGGGGGTTAGCTGTGTCTCCTCCAAGGAGTCATTTCGGTGCGGGTCTCTTGCGGGTTCTGCCTTCTGCCTCAGTGAAAAGTCCTCACAGCGTGAATACCAAGGACAGGGTGTGGTAAGATTCCACATCCATGTGCTCTAAAGTTTTGTTTCTTTTTTTTGTTCTTCCTCCTCCCCCTCTCTCTGCTAAGATGCTGGCTTCGAGATTCCCAACTTATTTGTCGTCGGATACGCCTTAGATTACAATGAGTATTTCCGAGATCTGAATGTAAGTCTTGCATGCAGCTCCCCACCTCTTCATGAAGAGTTTCATGATAACATCAGTTGAGCAAGTCATTGAAAGTAGTAGTCATGATGGCTGCTGCTGATTGGGGGTCTCCTGTACTAGTGTAGGCTGGACACTTTGCATCCATCTAATCCCAAGGACTTCCCACTGCTCCCCTGCCAGGCAGGCATGAGAATGGCAGAAGGAGATGATGATCATCACTTGTTTTGGACCATAGAAATGGAACTAATTCCACATGGACTTTTTTTTTCTCCATCATCACTGAGCATGCCCACAAGTTTATAATAGAAGCCAATGTTCCAGAAACTATTTCATGTCCATGCTTGAAACCTAGTAGGTTCCAATGACAGGTGCCTCCCAGTTGTTCCCTCCCATCCACCCCCATTATGGGGAAATGGTCTCCATTCCCAAGACATGGGCTCACAAAGTGACATTAGCCATTGCTGAATGAGATTGGCATCTCAGGCACAGTAGGCTCATCATTGTCCCTCTCCTAGCAATGGGAACTGTATGCCAAAAGTCAGCAGAGGCCAAGGGACTTTGTGCTTAAGCCCCCATCATGTCCATAGAGCATTCTCAGCACGTCAGGCTGCAGGTGCCCCAGCTGGCTTTGCTCTGGCCATCCCCTATGTCATTGCTCATTCCAGCCTTGGGTTCTGTGAGTGACCCTAGGATCCTACCAGTAACTCCATTGTTGTTACTTAAATGACTTGACTACATTTCTTTGCTTTTTCAACCCAATTCCTGCTAACACTAGGCATGCTGCCCAAAAAGGGACCAAGTAGGAGTGCATGTTGTGTGAGTCTCTGTTTTCTGCCCTTGTACCCAAGCTGGTGGTCATCTTACCACTTGGAGACAGCCGCACCTGCAGCTCCTCACATTTGCAGCTTTGGAGTACCTGTGGAGTCAGATTCTCACGAGGGCCCTGAACTGAAAAACCACAAGGAATTTTTTTGCATCTGAGCGTTCTCTTTGGAGCTGACACACAGATACACACATATACAGGTTTAAATGAACAATAGCCACTTTACGGTGGCATTCTCTTGTTATGGCACGCCACTTCCTGCACCCCAGATTCTGATGCATTTAAACCCTTTATCATTCCAGCACATTTGCGTGATCAGCGAACATGGGAAAGAAAAATATCGGGTCTAAAGCAATAGCCAGGCCAGGGCCCGCAGTAGTAGGCGGCGTGGCCTAGCAGCTAAAGTTCTCACCTCGAACGCGCCGGGATCCCATACGGGCGCTGGTTCTAGTCTTGGCAGCTCCACTTCCCATCCAGCTCCTTGCATGTGGCCTGGGAAAGCAGTTGAGGACGGCCTAAAGCCTTGAGACCCTGCACCCCTGTGGGAGACCTGGAGGAAGTTCCTGGCTCCGGATCGGCATAGCATCGGCCGTTGTGCTCACTTGGGGAGTGAATCTTCGGACGAAAGATCTTCCTCTCTATCTCTCCTCCTCTCTATATATCTGACTTTGTAATAAATAAATAAATCTTGTTAAAAAAAAAAACATGATAAAGCAGTAGCCGACATCACGTCGAATCCCTGGATAACTGAGTCTTTGCACTGACCATCATGCCCATATAGACCCCGTCTTCTCCAGTCATGTCGCTCAGCAGGGCAGGAAAGAAAACGCGTTTCCCTGAGAGGGTTTCTTGGGGAAGAGTCCAGTAGAACCAGTACCAGCTGTACTGGGGTAAAAGAAAGCATGACATGCCATCAGCATGCCAGCTTGTCCGTCCAGACTTCCCGCTCTGGAGCTGCTTATGTCTTCTGTTTTGACCCAATCATTTGCCCTCATTGCCTTCTCCCAGGAACACCCCCACACACATCACTCCTCAGATATTTTTCAGTTTTTTTTTTTTTAAATAGGCTTTATTTTGGTGATATTTTGCAATATCAAGAAGCTGCTGCAGACTTTCATAACGTGAGCTCTGGGCCCGGCTCGTTAGATCCTGCACATTGGAAGGGAAGAGAAAAACAACTGCCTGCCCGTGTGTGTGTGTGTGTGTGTGTGTGTGTGTGTGTGTGTGTGTGTGTGTGTGCGCGTGTGTGCACCCTCAAATGCTTCAGACAGTCAGACCGGCTCTGACAAAGCTGTGGGTTAGCACAGGCTGTGATGCATCTCGTCCTCATGACGCTGGAAGCTGAGCTCTGTGTCCATCCTGGCAATGGACACAGGTGATGACAGCCCATCGTGGACGCGTGGGCGGGCTCCACGGTGCTTCATATACTGCATGTTAAGGAGGGCAGACACAATGGCGGCAGCCAGGCCTTCATGGGTGAGCTGCATCCTTTTTGTTTACGTGCGGTACAAGCAAATGGCAGGCTCATGTTATTGCCAAGTCTACATTCTCCCACTTGCTAAGACATCGGAGAACAAGGTGGCATGAGGGCTTGGCCTGAACTCGAATGTGGGTGCTGCGTGCTGGGGTATTTGGTGAAGTCCTCTTGTCACACTGACCTCATGGTCCAAAGTACCCAAGGGAACAAGCACACTTCAAGTTGTTTTCTCCCTCCTGAAATAGCATCCTCTCCGTTTTTACTGCTGAACAAGTTATTTTGCTAGTGAGTGGGGGTTTGAACAGAAAATAAATGTGAGTGCCAGTGCAGCTGGATTTGTTTTTTTTCTTCTACATTTCCTACAAGAAGCAAATGCTGCATCGGTAATTAAGGAGCCTCTGTCTTGGAACCCTCTGTGGGCAATTGCTGTTAAGTTCTAGCTTCCTTCAAACCAAGAAAGACTAAGAAAGCTTGTCATCTTTCATACCTGCTTGCTGTTTTCCTTCAGCCCCCCTCCCTATTTTTTATATACTTTCAACCATTAATATATGTGGGTCTGGTGCGGTAGCCTAGTGGCTAAACTCCTCACCTTGCATGCGCCAGCTGGGAGATTCCATATGGGTGCCGGTTCTCATCCCAGCAGCCCCACTTCCCATCCAGCTCCCTGCTTGTGGCCTGGGAAAGCAGTTGAGGATGGCCCAAAGGCTTGGAAACCCCCCCTCACCCCCCCCCCCATGCATGTGGAAGACCCAGAAGAGGCTCCAGGCTCTGGCTCTAGTTCAGCACAACTCTGGCTGTTGCGGCCTCTTGGGGAGTGAATCAAAAGACAGAAGATCTTCCTCTGTCTCCTTAAAAAAAAAAAAAAAAAAAAAAAGCTACATGTGAGCCAGTGGCTTCAGTATGCTACTATTCCACACTTCTCTTGCAGCCTTCATTTTGTTAACATGGATCAAGTCCAATGTGTGACCAATATAAGCAAATAGGACTGGTTTGCAGCTTTTTTTTCCCCTGTCCTCCTTAGGCTTGTTGGTAAGATACAGGAATTTCTTGTTGTAAAAGAAGATATTTCTTGCCTGTCTTTATTCCACTCACAGTGGAAAAATAAACCACACCCAGATATCCCAAGGGCAAAATCAGCCAAGACAATCCCTTCCAGCTTTGTTTCATGAAAGAACTGGTATCCAAGTGACGGGTTTGTAATTCTGTGTAACTGGCTGATTTCTTGAAATATCAAAATTCCTGCTATAAGCGTAATTTCCCACTATGCCACATTTATATCAGAACACTTAGGGAAAAAAATGCAGCGTGTGTTTGATTTGAAATTTGAAATTTTATCCATAAAGCATACAATATTAGCTGTTTCCTTAAAAAGTATTGAATTTTAGGAACTGGTACCCTGGCGTGGTAGGCTAAGACTCACTTGGATCACCGGCTTGTGGACACAGCTTCACGTTCCAGCTGTTCTACTTCTAGTCCAGCTCCTCGTGTAGGACCTGGGAAAGCAGCAGAGGCTGGGACCTTGCACCTGTCTAGGAGACCCAGAAGAAGCTCCTGGCTCCTAGCTTTGGATAGGCTCAGCTCCAGCCACTTGGGTAGTAAACCAGCAAATGGAAGACCTTTCTTTCTATAAATCGGCCTTTTAAGGTTTTTAATTGATTTTTATGTATTTCAAAGAAAGGGAAGCAGGGAGAGCCAGTGATCTTCCATCCACTGGTTCACTCTAAATTTCCACCAAAGCCAGGCTGAAGCCAGGAGTCAAGAATTCCATCCCAGTTCCCTATGTGGGTGACAGAGGTCTGAGTATTTGAGTCATCTCCTGCTGTGTCCAGAAGTATGTTAGCAGGCAGCTGGATCAGAAGCAGAGCCAGGACCCAAAGCCCCAGGATGGAGCGCAGGTGTCCCAAGCAGCTGTTTAACAGCTGTACCACATGCCACCTTACATCAGCACCATTTTGAGGTCTTACTTTTTTGTAAAGATTTATTTTTTTATTTTTTTTTTTATTGGAAAGGCGAATATACAGAGAGGAGGAGAGACAGAGAGGAAGATCTTCCATCCGATGATTCACTCCCCAAGTGAGCGCAACGGCCAATGCTATGCCGATCCGAAGCCAGGAGCCTCTTCCGGGTCTCCCACACGGGTGCAGGGTCCCAAAGCTTTGGGTCGTCCTCGACTGCTTTCCCAGGACCACAGGCAGGGAGCTGGATGGGAAGCAGGGCTGCCGGGATTAGAACCGGCGCCCATATGGGATCCCGGACGTGCAAGGCGAGGACCTTAACTACTTGCGCCATCGTGCCAGGCCCTTGAGGTCTTCTGTAATAAATACTGGAAAAGACCAAGTATCCTAGGGACGGAATCATGACTGAAGTCCTTTCCTATCAGGTGACTGACAGTCATCTTGGGACACATCCTCTTCTCATGTAAAACTCTAGTGTGTTTAATACCACTGAGTTCATTCACCCTAAACCAAAAGTACAAAAGCCCATTACCTAATTAACACTGAGTCCTCTGTTCGATTAGTGTTCTATACATGATCCAGAGGAGGAGAGGAGCATAGGTTCATGGAGGTGTGTATTTCATTGGGAAATTTGGATTTAGACATTATCTATGTAATTGGCACTATCTGGGGATTTTCCAGGCAAATTAGAACCCTCATTACATACTAGCCTTCTCTTCTGTGGGCTAGAACACAGCATGCATTGAACCATGAGTCCCATTGGTGCCCCGTCATTAGATGGCAGCCTATTTTATAGTATCCTTGGCTCTCACGTGTGTTGCTACGTCTCTAAGATGGAAAACAGCCTTAGTCGAGCTTCCTGTGGGGTCAACTTGGATTTTCCCAATAATGAAGATAAACTAGCCCATCCCGCTTACAGAGCTCTGTAATCACAGAGCCATTTCCTCCCTGTTGTAATGGAAGCAGTTTGTTCTAGGAAGCCACAGGCCTGAACCACACTCCGGACGGCCAGCTGGCTGATGGCTAACTAGGGAGTTTGGTTCATTTGGCGAGTGTGAAGGGTCTTTAGCTCTCGAGATGACAGTTGAGGTCAGTGGATAGGCCGGCTCTAAAATGCAGCTAGTGGCACCATCACCATGGGGTAGGTTAAGCTGCCACCTGCAGTACCAGCTTATGTCCCAGCTTATGGGGCATCAGTTCACGTCCCAGATACTTCACTTCTAACCCAGCTCCCTGCTGATATGCCTGGGAAAGCAACAGAGGATGGCCCAAACTGGGCCCTTGCATCCATGTGCAAGACCCAGATGAAGCTCCTGGCTTTGACCTGGCCCTGCCATGGCTATTGCAGCCATTTGGGAAATGAGCCAGCAAATGGAAGATTCTCCATCTCTTTCTACAACTCTGCCTTTCAAATAAAAATTTTTTTTAAAAGTATCTACTGTACAGAAATAGGCTGAGGATGTGTATTTGGGGGCCCAGTACATTCCCATGCCCCAGTACAGCTTTTGAACCCTGGGAGACAACAGTGAAGGATCTGGGGTACGTGGGCCCCTGATGCCCATGTGCAAAACTCAGTGGAGTCCCAGGATTCGGGCTCTGCCTTGCGCAATCTAGGCTGTTGTGGGTATGGAGGACTAACCCAGTAAATACAAGACCTCTGTCCTCCTTTCAGATAAATTTAAGCAAATGAATTCAATAGCTTGCCAACCTTGTGTGGTGGTCAGTTACCGTGTGCAATGTGCTGCTAGATGCTGGGGTCCAAGAAATGGAGCCATCTCCTTTTGCCTGAACATACTGTTTATTGTGTCCTCCTAGATAAGCGGATTAGTTCAAAGTTCTCTCTCTCTCTAATCTTATCATGAATGATTTGCTTGTTGCCTTGCACCCAGTATTGGTCATCCAGTGTTGAACCCAGACC